TGTGTATTTCACACTCCTGTGTGTATAAACACACAGGTGTATAAAACTTTAACTGCGAAAAACACACAGGCGTATCAAAATGCTACTGCGTAAAACACACAGGTGTGTAAAACTTCAACTGCGTGAAACACACAGGTGTATAAAAATACAACTGCGTGAAACACACAGGGGTATAAAAATACAACTGCGTGAAACACACAGTAGTATAAAACTTCAACTGCGTGAAACACACAGTAGTATGAAACTTCAACTGCGTGAAATACACAGCAGTATGAAAATTCGGCTGCGTGAAACACACAAACTTCACGCATGCGTGGAGTGTATGGAGTGTACGGGAGTGATTCACGCAATGGTGCGAATAGTCACGGCCATTTCCCAATATTATTCAAAAACGCTCTTTCAGCCTTCTTTTTCATTGTACAATCATAAGTTTTGGCGACTCCAGGGCAAAACAGGGTAAACCTGAATAGCAATTAGAGATCACTTCAGATTATCAAAATAGAAAAAAACAACCAAGATTACATTTGAAAGGTAATCCACCCGGGCCTCAACAGTAATTATAATTCACGGATATGGCTATCCCTGTTCTGCAGATTCAAATCCAGTGGCTCCTCAACAACAACAGAGAATCCCTCCCCAGCCGAGCCAACTCAAAGAAGAAATCGATTCGGAGCTAACTCCGGAGGCTTCAAGCGCCCCAGACCGGGTTCAAAGGCCCCAGCACAGGAGGAAGAAGTCCGAAAGGATTCAGCAAGCTCCGTAAACGCAGAGAAACCTGCAAATGGAAGGAATAGGTACCGAGGAAATGGCTCGAAGCCCGCGGTGTCCACAACACCTGCCCCGGCAACACCGTCATCATCATCATCGTCGTCGTCGTCAGGAGTTCCTCGTCCAACTTTCAACAAAATTAACCTGAATCGACGAAGAGGAAGGCCCACGACTCCACCTCCAAGTGCTAATGAGGAGAATCAGGAGGCAGGTGAGACTGGTGGCACTGAGGGGAGCTCAGAAGCATCGACAACGACCAAATCACCATTGAGACCTAGACTTCCTGGTGTTGGACCGAGGCCTGTCAGACCTGGTGCTAAAATCAATCTGAGAAGACCTGGACAGCCAACTACGACCACGGCAACTCCTGAAGTGCAGGAGGGCACGCTGGACGAGCCTGCTGGAGAGGGAACTGAGGAGGAAACTCATGAGGTAAAATATGATTCGTTATTTTTGGATCTTCCATCTCCCGAAGTGATGGGTCACGAGGAAATACAGTAGAGGCTTCGTATAAGATACCTCTCTATAGGATACCTCGCGCTCCGAGCGCTCGAAGCCTACCCCCACTCTCGGCTCTTCTATCGCCTCCGAAATGTTTATGTTCCGTGGGCTTCTTATAAGATACCTATGGCCCCGGTCATTTCCCAACGGGTAGAGAGTAGTTATAAGGATCAAACGGTGTTAAGGGTCAAACGGGAGGGACGAACGAAGTGATCATGAGGGTCTAATGACCTTAAGGGGGGGTCACACCACTTTTTTCAAGTAATGAAAATATACATCGATTTTTTTTTCACTTTTCCCATCGAAAAATCGTAATTTTTCGTCTGTGATTATTCTCGAGTCCATCAACAATCCCCCAATATCAGCTGCCATTCTATCACGCGGGGTTATGTTTAGAGAGAAAAGGAAACGCGGGCGATACAAATTCAAAACATTAAACACATATAAATTGATTAGTTATCGATATTCATTCAGTAAAAATGAAAATTTCATTGAATTCGAGCGCAATGAGCGAGGTATCTTATTTCTCCTCTCTATAGGCGCGCGTAGTGGGGGCATAGGGGTTCCCGGAATTCCTCTCTCCTACTGTCCCTAAGATATCTTATACGAAGCCTCTACTTTACTATGAGATATTGAATTCCTTTCCCGAGGAACCAAACAAAACGGATAACAACACTCTGAAATTTCAAACACAAACACAGATTTTATCTATATTCTTACAAAAGCCAAGATAACCGAAAGTTTTTATTGACGAAACTTCAATTTGACAAAAGTTCAATTTACCAAAAGTCCACTTTCCCAATTTGAATTTAATCAGGTTTCTTTAACAAAGTTTTTTTGACGAAGTTTTTTAGACGTGCTCCGCAAAAACTTTATAATCTGCTATTTAATATATACATTTTACAAAATAATCAAAACGTTCATCAACTCTGAGAGAAGATTGCTTGTCGGCTCTTCTAATGCTAATTAATTTTAATTTGAAGACGGCTGACAATAGAAAGTTCCTTTGATAGTTTCCCTCAACATTGCGCATTACCGCGATAATTCAACAATGAACAGAAACAGTCATTGGACGAAGAAATTGTTGTTTGCTCAAGAACTGTTAAGTAAATGATCAATCTAATTGGAAATGTCAAGAAACGTCCTTTATAATCGATGAATTTTGCGTAAAAAAAATTGTCCTGAGAAATTTGCAACGATATTAGCGAAGTCATCTAGGAATCTATTTTTGTCTCTTCTATTAGCGCTTTACCACAGAATGGGAAAATATGCTTTATGGATCTTGATGACTGGAGTTATTAATTTATTCTAAAGAAATCTCTGAACTTCGGGTGGATGCGTACTTTCACTTGGTATTTTCAAATGTCAGTGGCCACGAGTTTTCATCACCAGTCGTAATGTGACAAACGTTGGTAATAGGACACTGAGTTATGGCTTATTAACTCCTAATTGCAACATATAATTTGAGAAAATAATTGGAGATTGTGAACATCCATTAGAATCTGACAAAAACCGGTAATTAAAATAAAACAATGAAAAGTCAAAACATAAAAATAATTGTCTTAAACGAGTTGATATCTTGATTTTCGCACAAGCTAGAGTGATTACAGAGTTTTTTTAATGATAAAACGGAAAAACGGGAATATCTCGAAAACTTTGTATGAACGGGTGTCTATGTTTTGATTGATTTAGACAGAAGGCATTGAAACGAATATTTTGAAAACACAAAAATCGAAATCGGTCCACTAGTTTTGAAGATATTTACGGGAAACCATTTAAAAACGAAGAATTGAGTGGTTCCCGGATTTTTTTCGTTATATTATTATTATTCGTTATATATCTAGCAAGCAAAAATATGAAATATCTTCAATCATTCAAAGAATAATTGTACGGTAAACAGTGAATTCGATTGATCGTGAAGACAATCCGTCTTCAGAAACCATGAGATGTTTTTCGAATAGCACATGAAAATTCAAACAAACCGGTAAAAATTGATGATCATCACCCAAAAAATAAAACCCTTTTTTATCTACTTCAGACACCAGCAGAGACGGTTCCCCCAACGAAGCACACAACCCTGAACCCACTGAATAAACTTCGCAATAGGAATCGCCTGCAAGTGCACCCAAAAACAACAACTCGATCACCACTGCCAACAGCCCCAAGAAAATCCCCCCTCCTCCCCCGTCGCAGAACCACAGAAGCACCAGTGGTGGAGTCCACCCACGAGGAGGCAGCTACTGAGGGGAACCCAGCTCCAGAGGAGACCGAAGTTACTGAAGGAGCATTGCCCGAGACCAGTACTGCTGCTAGCAGTAAACACGAAGAAGTCAGAGCTCGCACTGGATTACTAGCTCCCAGGCGCAGGATAGCACCCAGACGCCCAGGACAAATCATCGGCCGTGAATGATTTTACTAATTATGAAGTAATGGAGCAGTCAAGTGGTGATTTCATGAGTCAAATATGAAACATGAGTCAAATATGAAACAGATTTCATGAGAGAATGATGACACTCAACATTTCTTTCAATTAATCGTTTCACCACTTTCCTAATGGCTTCATTCAGTAATTTCGAAAATCATAAAACGAGTGAAAGAGGAGGAGGATTGACGAAAATAATTATTCTTAAAAAGTCTCAGGAAGGAAAATAGAAGGGAAGATCAAAAATAGAAATTAACACTGGAAGAATTCGAAAATTAATCTCCTTACACTTAGTAACAATTTCTTTCACTGAATTCCTTGGAATAATGGAGTTTCTGAGTTTCCTTAATCGAGAACATGAATTCAATATCACTTGGTCATTATTATCTACGAATTGATATCGCAGACAAGATTATTTAAACACTAGTCTCATAATTGCACTTGAAAATTGAATATAAGTGCCATTTTTATAGCCGACAATGACCAGCGAATTAAAAGTGATGTCAAATCTTTGTTAATGAGGTGAATATCAAATGCAGTTCTTGTGGGAAACGAGCCGTTGTAGGAGGTAGGACGAGAGCTCTCTGATTTGGAGAATGTCCTACCTAAAATCGTCCTTCAATTAAGGATGCGGATTGAGAATCGACGACTGCATTGCCTCGAGTTCTTTTCTATCAAAAAAATTGCTTGATTGATCGATTTTTAAAGATGGATAATTTGCGCGGTTCAACCGCAGCACAACGCATTTTCATGTTTCTTCAAATTTTGTGTGATGATGACATATGATGAACGGTGATGACTCCTAGAGTCAACTTAGTACCCTAGTTACTTATATCTTATTTAATGAATCAACGTTTACTATGATTTTCACTGAATTGCAATTGCATTGAAATTGTACGCCTCACGGGGTCCCCAGTGGCACACAATGTTTTCGATTTTAATCTAAGTTTATAAAGAATTATGTAAATATGCTTAATAAATATACGTAAAGAAATATTTACCCGAAATTCAATTTGTTTGTGTATGAAGAAATTCGGATGCCAGTCCTAGCGCATTCGCTAGTAAATTTTAGTGCAATTCTATGCAATCCAATTAAAAAAAATTCAATTGGCACGTTTTTTGGGCGATTTTTCCACTGAGATAAAAACAATCATGATATCTAAAACATATTTAGGGGAGGGTGGGATAAAACGGACATTTTAGACTTTTTTTTAATTATTCACAACTCAGAAACAAATTGATCAATTGAGCTCAGTTTAGGCTCGTCACAAAGGGAAAGAATTGTTCTTTGTATTGAAAAAAAATTATTAAATTTTATCAACATTTACACCCCTCATTAACATTTTAAAAAAAGTGTAAAGTGCTGGTACAAATTTATTTTTCTAGAAGATAATAATAAGTATCATACCATTATCCCGGGATCACTCGTCCTCGGCTGCCGGCCCTCGCGGGGTTAAGGATGTTTAGCCACAATACACATTATTCACCATAATTTTTATATTGCCTCACATGCCAGGTTCATATTTAAGCCACACGTTAGTAGTAATCTTAATTCTTCCATCGGGGCATCCTAGTGAGGAATTAATGTCTGAAAATCACTTCTTGTAACATTACACTTAGGGAAGAAACGTAACCGTGTGAACTTTGATCGAAATGTTGCTTGGGTTAGACACTCACGATATTGAAAAAAACCACAAGCCATTTACTTTAGACTGCGGAGAATCTATCGCCGGCGAGAACAAGTACCGGACCGGGCCATATAGGCGTGATATCTTCGATTGATTTTCGAATAACTCTAAACAAAATTTGACCGCCATTACGAGTCGAGCAACGCGCCAACAGCACACAACAGCTGATCGAGGTCGGTAAAGTCGGCGACGATAATTCAGTGCTGGAAGCATACGGACACGTATAACACACACAACATTCATCTCACTGTTACACCCCACTGCAGTCACAAGTCCTCCATTATCTATGAACATTTTCTTTAATTATTGTTTTTGAGACCGGAAAAGTACGCTATAACACTTCTAATTGGATGAGAAAAATTATTTGTAACATGAATGATTTATTTAGTCAATTTTATTTTTCTTTTCAACTGAGTTGTCCACTTGATACGTTAAACATTCTTAAACTGGCGATAAACTTTTTCGCCACACTGTGCGAAAAACACTTTTCTGCACTCGTATCGAAATATACTATTTTGACACTGCTGCTACATTCACCTCGTGCCGAAATAGTATATTTCGATACGAGTGAAACGGAATTTTCACGAGTGTGAAGTTGGCGGCCCGAGGCGAAGCCGAGGGCTGCCAATCACACGAGCTGAAAATTCCCGTCTCACATGTGTCGAACAATAGTTTTTGACAGTGATATGAAAAGACTTTTCGTTTACGACTAAACAAAAAGGCACTTTTCGACACGAGGTGAACGTAGCAGCAGTGTCAAAATAGTATATTTCGTAACGAGTGCTAAAAAACATTTTTTCACGAGTTCTGAACAATATTTTTCATCACAATGTGGCGGAAATTGGACTTTTCGTCACAGCGTGATGAAAAAATATTTTTTGAATCGAAAAAAAAATTGAAAAACAAAACAGATGGGGGTCTTTATCCTCTAAGAAAAAATGGGGAGTCCACCCGCCCCCTTTCCCCCCTTGCCCGTATTATCAACGGACTGACACGAATTAGTTTCTCCACTTATCTCACAACTCCCCCACTCACTCTACTTGAAACTCGCGCCAGAGACTCACGTGTTTTCGACAGCTGCGGTGCATGAGGATCCGCCTTGAATTCTCGTTAACACACACAAGCAAATGTTTCTCCGAGTCCATGGCCCAGTGATTCAATCCCGAGTTTGCGGCGTTTCGTCTCGTTTCTGATATCGAATTAAAAAAATGGTAGGCCTTGTTTGAAATCCAAAAAGTGTGGGGGCATCCTCCAGTGATTATAATTATTAATTTCGTTTATGCAAAGGTCGAAATATAATAGTTTTTGTTCAATGTGTATGAGTGAAAACCGGGCTGAGGGGATTTTCGATGAGAGGCAAATAGTGACAGACCGACAGAAGGCTTTTTCCGTGAAAAAAAAAAAGATTTTACAGCAATTAGCTATCGATCTGACGAGTTATGGATAGTTAGTTTGCTTCTTTCTTCGATAGGATCCAACAGTGTTCAAATAATTCTTGGGTGACATTCTGTTTCTGGGGGAACTTCGAGATGGCCAGGCATAACCTTATAAGGAGATTAACTTAACCGCTTAGCTCACTTCTATTGCACACAATTGAGTCGATTTCTTTTTTGACACATGGAATTTTCAGATATAAAGACCTCTGCAAAAATTGTAACGCCTGCATTCTAATTACGTAAATTTACTAACTACAAGAAAATCCGCACATTCCGAATGCAAATATTTATATACATTTACTTGTGACACGTAAATTTACTAGGCAGAAGTAATTTTTTTCTCAGTGAAGATACTACCCCTGGAGAGTGCTGCACTCGAGAGCATGTGCTTGCCCCTCAGCGAAAGCTTTTATTTAAATATTTGTTCTTCACGATTTCTTACAGCAACCACAAATAATTTTGTTGAAAGAGGGGACTGACTCGAGTCAGGGAAAGCCCCAGCTGATATCGAACATAACTGCCTGCCAAATGGTGGGTGATTCCGTGAAGACGACTCTGGGTCCTCGTGGAATGGACAAACTCATCGTCGATCAAAATGGCAAGAGCACAATCTCCAATGATGGTGCGACAATTCTCAAGCTCCTCGATATCGTTCACCCAGCTGCGAAGACACTTGTGGACATCGCCAAGTCGCAGGATGCGGAGGTAAAAAAAATATTTAATCACATCACATTTTGATTGATGAAACACCCCAGTGTACCCGTAGAATATCAATTATTAATTTTTTTATTGAGCTTTATGATTATGTCTTGGGGTAACAGTCACCGCCTAAGGACAACCTCGGCGGTGTATTTTGTATTGGTATTTTACAGATTTTCAACCTATTAATACATGCAGAGTATAAAATCAGGAAAAATTAGAGCATACGGTAAAATGGACGCTTGGCCTTTCAGAATAATTCATCACTCGGGAGAGAACTGAGTAATTGAGCTCAATCTGCTTATTAGTATTTTCAAACAAGTGGTCACTGTCCATGTCCATTTCACAAGTCTACTTCACTGATTTTCCGGGAAATCCTTATGCAATTGCAGAGGAACAATTGGCATTCTCACACCGGAAAAAATTAAAGAAATTGAACACGAATATAGACTGGCAATTTTGTTGAGCCCAAAAATTGTCTCAATGGTGTTCAAACAATTTTAACAATTGAAAATTATTTCTCCCATTATTTTCACAAACTGATGATTGAGGTAATTCACTCGGTTGAATAATTTGGAGATCAAGTGCATCGTCCTTCTGTCCATAATCATCAATGTTCTGCGGCCAAACTTCTTCGGCCACTTGATTACTAAATTGTGCAGAACCTGAAGCTTGGGAAGTAAAAATGGGAAGAAAAAGTGTCCGTAAAAACCGAAACGTTGGCGTTTCGACGTGAAATCAAGATAATTCCCTCCAGCAATTTGAAGTTCTTCTCAATTTTTCAGGTCGGTGATGGAACCACCAGTGTCGTCCTAATAGCAACCGAATTTCTAAAGCAAATGAAGCCATTCGTGGAGGAAGGAGTCCACCCCCGTATAATCATCAAAGCCTTCCGTCAGGCAATGAAAATAGCTCACGACAAGATCCAACAATTGAGTGTAAAAATCGGTGACACTACACTGGCGGAGAAACGAAGTCTCCTCGAGAAGTGTGCAGCAACGGCGATGAACTCAAAGCTCATCCACCACCAGAAGGACTTCTTCAGCAAAATGGTGGTTGACGCTGTGCTCCAACTCGACGAGCTCCTCCCCCTGAACATGATCGGCATCAAGAAAGTATCGGGTGGAGCCCTTGAGGACTCCCTCCTGGTCGCTGGAGTGGCATTCAAGAAGACCTTCTCCTACGCTGGATTCGAGATGCAGCCGAAGAAGTATTCCCCCTGCAAAATCGCTCTGCTGAACATCGAGTTGGAGCTGAAAGCGGAGAGAGATAACGCAGAAGTCAGAGTTGACAACGTTGCCGAGTACCAGAAGGTGGTTGATGCAGAGTGGCAGATTCTCTACCAAAAACTGGAGAAGATCCACAAGATTGGAGCCAATGTGGTGCTCTCAAAACTCCCCATTGGAGACGTGGCGACCCAGTACTTTGCCGACAGAGACATGTTCTGTGCTGGTCGAGTGCCAGAGGAGGACCTGAAGAGAACCATGAAAGCCTGCGGTGGAGCTGTCATCACCACTGTCAATGACATCACTGACTCAGTCCTGGGGAAATGTGAGTCCTTCGAGGAGAAGCAGATTGGAGGGGAGAGGTTCAATTTCTTTGCTGGATGCCCGAACGCCAAGACCTGCACTTTTGTTCTGCGTGGAGGGGCTGAACAGTTTTTGGAGGAAACTGAGAGATCTCTGCACGATGCTATCATGATCGTCAGGAGGATGATTAAGAACGATGCGGTTGTTGCTGGAGGTGGAGCCATCGAGATGGAATTGTCGAAGACTCTGAGGGATTATTCTAGAACCATTGCTGGGAAGGAGCAGCTCATCATTGGAGCTATCGCGAGGGCTCTTGAGATTATTCCAAGGTAGGAAAATTATGATTCATTGAAAGTCCTTTGTTCAAAAATTTTTTGATTCCATCAGTCCTTGACGCTTAAAATCGACTCTCACGCATTCATTTAAAATTTTTAATTCAGGTGAATGCGTGAAAGAATATGTTCTTTCGAGGGAAGAAATTTATTTTCAATTCGATGTGGTGGTGGAACAATAAATTTACGCATAATTTCGAGGAGAAAGGGGATTCTAGGGGTCGAGGCCTGATAAAGCCAAAAAATTGTCAGTTTTTTCGGCAAATTCGGGATTTTTCCTGTAAAAAAATCTATGTAACATTGTTTTGTAAAATGGAATGAAACTGTAACCGTCAGATTTAATTCTTTCGTTATTTCTCTGATCGCCAATCTTCGACGAAAATAAAAAACGAGTCTTGATTGTGCCAAAAAAAAAATGAGAATTTGAAAATTTCCAAGAATAAAAAAAATTTCATCCTGAACATTTGAGTGTCATTTCTAGCACGATCTATCGTCGTAATCGACAATTTTCTGCATAATATTAAAGCGAATGTCTTATACTTTTGCTGGCTTTCCAGGCAACTTTGTGATAATGCTGGCTTCGATGCTACCAATATCCTCAACAAACTTAGACAGAAGCACCATCAGGGAAATTGTTGGTATGGAGTTGATATCAACACTGAGGACATTGCGGATAACATGGACGCCTGCGTCTGGGAACCAGCAATTATCAAGATCAACGCACTGACAGCTGCTGGTGAAGCTGCCTGCCTGATTCTCTCAGTCGACGAGACAATCAAGAACCCAAGAAGTGGAGACGGCGGTGCTCCGCAGATGCCTGTCGGTCGCGGCATTGGGAGACCCATGTAATCCTCATCCATTCATTCATCTTACTCATCGATTATTACTTGCTTGTTTAACCTAATACTGCGTTTGCCGAATTCCATTCACAGTTCACAGAGGTATTGATCGCAAATTTTCTGCATTTCTCGCCGATTTAAGAAAATAAAACATTTTATAATTGCAGTTATATGTTTATTCAATTGAAAAACAGACAAATCCTTTCATAATAGTCAATGTTTCGGATGCCCAAAGTGTTCGGAGTCAGGACATTCATTTATTCTGCAAAAACAAAAAAAATCAAGGAAACCGAATGAAATTGGAGAATCACAAAATTCACCCATTCAAAAGCCAAAAGGAAAATAACATAAACATGGTAATATAATGAATAGAATCGGCATTCTATTCCGAAAATATTGCGTGAAACGCTTTTGTGAAGATACAAAAAGCTCAAGTATAGTTGCTATTAGCTGAAGAGAGTTTTTACGTACAACGACATCTGCGCCTGTGACACACGGTTGAACAACACTCGTGATGTCTCATGCACTGAAATCACATAAAATGTGTTATAAAAATTTCATCCATTGTTGTACGTTTGATAAGATTCAAACATTTAACAGACTTTTTCTGTTTGATTTCGAAATTGTATAAAAAAAGAGATGTCATATGTTTATTCCTGAATGCCTGAAAGAAAAATCGCGTACATGATGATGATAATAATCATTTTGTTGATAATGTTAGTGTTGGTGATTTTCAACAGACTATGTATTGATTCTCAATTAAAGTTTTCACAGATTTCGACGAATTCTTCAAGGACTTAATAGAAGTTTTGATAGATTTCCATGGAAAATCCTTCGCTTTCTATTGCAAGTTTTCGTAGCTTTCGCCGTATCTCCTATTGATTCTCGATGGAAATTTCCACCCCTTTGTAATAGAAAAAAGTTGAAAAATAATATTTTTTCAATAGAAGTTTTCATCGCTTCCCACGAATTTCTCCTCAGTAATACTATACACATATTCCTTATAGAAATTCGTATACGTGAAAGAATATATTGATTCCAATCAACTTAAATGATGAACGTGTTGAATCATATGAAATTCTGAGCGCGCCTTCGCTCTGGTGAATAAAAAAGCAAAGAACCAGAGCAAATCGCTGGTATGACTTATATGAACTCACCGGAAGTCCACGTCCCTTGCAGGGTTGTCCGCTAACAGCCGCCGCCAGCAGCGCAATTAACATGAAGATGGAGAGGTAGTTCATGATGCCAAGATTTTCCTAGGTTTTTTTCTTGAAGGCAGTCGCTTTATCACGAATGATGAGGGAGAGCCGATGTTCTTTATATAATAAGAGTCTCGAAAATTTCATGAGTTTTTCCTCATGAAAATATTTGTACATGTTGGACTGTGGAGATAAGAATCAATCTCTATTATTATTGTGTATCGGAGAAAAAGGAAAGTACGCAAAGTGAAATCCATTAACGTCAACATTCTGTATCTATTACCAATTCTGAAGCTAATGAAACACTCGGAGGCCCAGACATGCAGAAATAAAAACAATATTTTTTCCTGGGGCCGCAGTGGCAGATCTTGTTTTTCCTTAGATTTTTCCAGAGGAAAAGTTGACTTTCGGCAAAATCCAATTTTTTCGCCAAGTGAAGGTTGATTCTGTATCTACTGGCGATTCTGATGCCAATGAAACACTCGGAGGCCCCAGAAATGCAGAAATTAAAATTGTTTTTTTCACCCGGAGCCGAAGTGTCAGATCTTGGATTTTTCCAGGGGGAAAGTCGACTTTCGCCAAAATCGAATTTTTTAGCCGGGTGAACGTTGATTCCAACTATTTAAGCGACGGGCTATTCAGAACTCTCAAAAGTATGTGGAAAAAGTGAAAACTGAGAAACCGTTTTTTTTGGCCCCAGCCAAAGGGTCAGATTTTCGGGTTTTCCGGGGCTATTGGATTTTCACCAAAATCGAATTTTTTAGCCGGGTGAACGGTGATTCCAACTATTTAAGCGACGGGCTATTCAGAACTCTCAAAAGTATTTGGAAAAAGTGAAAAATGAAAAAAACAAATTTTCACCTGGGGCCCAACTGTCAGTGTCACCCTGGAAACTGAAAATTTTTCTCTCCGTTGCGAGTTGAAATATGAAGACATGAGTGGTAAACTTTATTATAGTGGAAAATTGATGTCATCATGCTTGAAACCGCCCAAGACAGGCGGAAAACGCCCGTAGGCAACTTCAGTATGATCGTTTAACCTATTTAGCTTCGGAACCCACTGAATAAACTATTTAAAATCGACCGCAGTATTCAATTTTTCTCGACAAATGTTTCTGGGACGATTAATCAGGTGTCGAATTCTCGCAGTTCCTGTCCAGTCGTTCGTGTTAATCAGGTAAGTTGATCGTGTATTCTCCAAGTATGTCCAATCGATTGTCGCGGTGTGAGGTTGGCACATCAGCGTGAATACAGCTGATCCACCCCCACAAAGCGCGACCCATTCGATAGAAGCGATAGAAGGAAAACACTCCTTACTTCAATTCCAAAGCGAGTGTCCCTCATTTGATGGTCAACCGTATGTTTTTTCATTTTTTTCGGGCTTGAATCTTTTCAAATATTTTTGTGCAATTCCGAAACACTTTGAATCGAACAGCGTGACACTTGTGATCGAGGCCATGTGGTGTAATGCTTCAATTAATCGATTACATGATTCCCCGTTAAACTCCAGCTGACTACATTTGAGGTTTACTCAGCTCCAAGGTTTCAATCGACAAACTCGTTCCTCTTCGCATTAAAAAATTACCTTTTGCGGACTTGAGACAATTGTAATGGGAAACAGAAATTAAGCGCCCTCAATAAAATAGCCTCATACCCATTATTTCTACTTCGTGTGTTGCTCAGTGATAGTTTTGCGTGTTTGATCAGAGCTAGATAGAAATTTATTGATTAGACAAGAGTCAGTTGTTCTGCATGACACGGAGAAACTGAATGATCATGGCATCGTTGCAGCAAAACGCTAAGAATTCGCAGGACAAGTCGTCTAATTCCACGTAAGTTATTCTAAAGAAAGGGCGAATGCCACGTTGGAAAAAATTTCATAGATAAACCTGTCGCATTGGCCACACAGGTGAAATTACGATTGATAAATGGTCGATGAATAATGAATTTTAAAATGAAACAATGAAAAATTGAAAAAATATTTTTTGGATTGAACGAAGGCGCGTCCCAGCCTAAATTTTTAATATGATCCGTAAAAATAGTCAGTTTGGGTAAAGAAATAAAAAAATCTATAATCGAGATGGCGGAAGGGGGTACCACGCATAATTTTCTACCTTTTTGGTGATTTCAAGGCCTTACCGATGCTGTGAGCTAACTGGCACCATGCTCAATCGAAAGAACGAAAAATTTCCGTCGAAAATACTTATTGAAAACCCAAAAAAAATGACCTGTGGTAATCCCAAAATTTTGTCAAAAACTCACAAAACTCAAGAATTAACGTTGTGGGCGTAATAAAATTTAGAAAAAATTTTTTAGGCTTTTTGAATGATAAGAAGCCTCAACATTAAATTTTTGAAGGTACAAACCCATACCAATAATTGGCGAGAGCACCCTGTGGCGTAAAATAATAGAAGAAGAGAATAGTGAAATAAGAATTGAAAAAAGGGAACCCATTGGAAGCAAATTGTTAATCTATTAGCAGCAATAACTGTAGTCATCTATAAAAAAAATACAATTGTCGGTTTGTTTTACTGCCTCTCGGTAAATCCGTTATTTACCCTTTAAACTTTGCAGACATACATCAATGGAGCCTAGCGTGACGACAGCGTCTGAGAATGGGGTGAAAAAGAGATTCGAGGATATTAAAAAATCACCGAACGATAAAAGGGTCTACAGAGGCTTGATCCTGAATAATGACATGAAAGTATTGCTGATAAGTGATCCAACAACCGACAAGAGTGCAGCGTGCCTGGACGTTAACATTGGAGTCATGAGTGATCCAGCGGAGCTACCAGGTCTCGCACATTTGTGTGAGCACATGCTCTTCCTCGGTACCGAGAAGTATCCAGATAAAAATGAGTATACCTCTTATTTATCCCAGCATGGAGGTGCATCCAATGCAGCTACGCAGTTGGATCACACGACTTACTACTTCGACGTGACTCCGGATAAGTTGGAAGGGGCTCTGGACAGATTTTCCCAGTTTTTCCTCAAGCCTTTATTCACAGAATCCATGACGGATTTGGAGATCAATGCTGTGCACTCTGAGCACGAGAAAAATATAGCTCAGGATTCGTGGAGGGCTGCCCAGTTGGATAAATCCTCAGCTGATCCGAAACATCCTTACTCCAAATTTGGGACTGGCAATCGGGAGACTCTGGACTTGACTCCTAAGGCGCAGGGACTCAATGTTAGAGACGAGCTGCTCAAGTTCCATGGAACGTGGTATTCTGCCAATATCATGGCGCTGAGTGTCCTGGGAAAAGGTAGGAATTTTTAGGGTTTAGGGAGGATGCGAAATACGCATTAGGATGTGTAGCCCACATCGCGACAGGAAAATGTGTATTTCATTACCTCGTCATTGGATAATGGTAGGGACATCCATTTTCATTATTCATCCAATCACATATTGCAACACAAAGTATTTCTCCCTTTGACTCTCATGATCGTTGTGCTGCACAATGAGAGAAATATCGACATAATATTACAAAACTTATTTCTTGCGTCAAATATCTCGTCTCTTAAGGATAAAACGCTTGGGATAAGAATTCCGCATAATGAGTCAGGTCGTGTAAGAATCAAGTGAAATGTTCATGACTTTAACACGAACACTTGGCGATAAAGCGACAATTTCTTGCCTCAAGAAATCGTTTATGTCGTGTCAAAAGATGAGAAAATTACTAAAAATACTAAAAGCTTCGATTCTGTGATCAGAGACTTTCATAGTGAATGAATACAGAATTTATGCAGGGGAGAACCTTCAGATATTTCTAAAATATAACCGTCACTTGCACTCAATCACTATGAGTTTGAAAGAAAGCAATAGCATCTTTTCCTTCTCTCAAACTTACTTTGTCTCTTCAGGAATATTATCTAATTTTCAGAAAAAAATATTTATTCATTCAGTATCATCCTCCTTTTGCCCGACGAGCATCGATTTCTTGTCTGAAACCTACCATGAATTGATCGAATATGCATGCGATGTTCCCCACTCAAGAAATTATTTTTGTCATATTATGTCGATGTTTGTCGCAGTGTACAACAGACAATTAACGAAAACTTGACTTTCCCAAGTTGAATTTAATGAGATTTTTTTAACGAAGTTTTTTAAACGTTCTCTCCGTGTTCCCAACTATTCCCACGTATTCTTATCATAATTTGAATTATTGTTCCACAGAGAGCTTAGATGATCTGGAGAGAATGGTAGTGAAGATGTTCGTAGAAGTGGAAAACAAAGGAGTAGATGCTCCCGAATGGCCAGATCATCCATTCAACGAGGATCATTACGAACATAAGTGGTATATTGTTCCAGTCAAGGACGTGCGAACACTGAACATGATTTTCCCACTCCCTGAATTGCGAGATCACTATAAATCTGCTGTGAGTTGAAAAAAACTGGTGCAAATTTTTTTTCACATCATAAAGACATATTCCATCCTATTTATCCTCGTTTAGCCTGCACACTACGTCTCTCACCTCCTCGGTCATGAGGGCGATGGTTCGTTACTGTCAGTTTTGAAAAGACAAGGCTGGTCAAACTCTCTAGTGGCCGGAAAACGAACAGCGGCCAGGGGTGGAGTTAATTTCTTCAACGTCATTGTTGACTTGACGGAAGAGGGAATTACACATATCGACGATATAATTTCACTCATGTTCCAATATATTAATATGCTGAAAACTGAAGGCCCAGTTCGATGGATTTTTGAGGTAAGCTCGGTCGAATAAATCAGAGGTATTATTAATTTATTTATTTATTCATATTTTTGAAAACTTTTACATGAGGAAGTGTGAAAATTGTAAAAAATTCCCATTGAATTTATTATCGTTAAATGAATGACGAAATGAATTGGAAAATCTGTGGGTCGCTGTATCTTTGCTACAGCCGTAATTTTACGTGGATACGTCTATCGTCTTCCCTTTCCTTCACTGAACATCACTGTTTTTTTTTCATCGTACATATTTATCGACATAGGTATATTAGAAGAATTCGGGATCTCGCACCGTCTCGTCATGATGAAACGTTTTTTATAATCACGATACGATTGAATTGTTATGTACAACCAAAATTCCTAAACAAATGCTCAACATATTTTATTCACAACGAAATCGTCACATACAAACACTTTTGCGAACTTTAACACGGATCCACAAATTTTGTCTACTTCGTGGAATAATAAAAAACTGGTATTTTTCCGGCCAGCGCTAAGAATCCCTCAAAATTGTAATTTATTTTTTGAAAAACCGATGAATTTTCTAGAAAAATCTGGATATTGCTAGAAAAAAAAGGGACCATAAGGACTTTTTCTCTAGATGCCCCCCATAATGAAAACATAGACGTATCCACGTAAAAATCCTGAAGTTTACAGAATGAGAGGGTCACATATATGTCTATATTCAATTCATGTTTTATCTACCCAGGAATGCAGGCAGATAGCGCAAATGGATTTCGACTTTAAGGAAAAATCCTCTCCCCGAACCTACGTGAACCAGACAGTCCAAGCACTCCAAAAATACCCAATGGAGGAAGTCTTGAGTGCCCCCTATCTCCCAACCGAATGGCGTCCAGACTTAATAACACTGATAACCGATCACCTCGTCCCCCAGAAGATTCGAATACATGTTGTTGGAAAAGCATTTGAACCAATCGCCACAGAATCCGAGTTGTGGTACGGAACGAAATTCAAGAAGGAGAAGATCCCCGATTCAGTCATCACGCGATGGTCGAGCCCTGGCCTTCACCAAGATCTCAAATTTCCGTCGAAAAACGAGTTCATCCCGACAGCTTTCGAAATCAAAGCAAATGAAAATTCTCACATCGATAAATTCCCAGTCATAATAGAGGACAATCCCTTCATGAGAGTCTGGTTCAAGCAGGACGATGAATTCCTCCTTCCAAAAGTCAACTTGACATTCGATTTTGTCACTCCCCTGGCCTACCTGGACCCAGTCAGCTACAATTTAACATTTATGTACATTCAACTGTTCAAGGACTCCCTGAATGAGTACGCATACAATGCGGGTTTGGCGGGTCTGAGTTGGGAATTCACCAGCAGCAAATACGGTGTATCACTAGCCATAGGTGGATATCACGATAAACACAGAATTCTCCTCGAAAAGATCATGGATAAAATGGTCAACTTCACAGTCGACAAACAGCGTTTTGAAATATTGAAAGAACTGTACATTCGAGAACTGAAGAATTACGGGGCAGAGCAGCCGTATCAACACGCTGTTTATTATCTAGCGGTTCTGCTTGCTGAGCAAGTATGGACCAAGGAGGAACTTCTCGATGCGAGTGATGACATCACAGTGGAGAGATTGGAGGCATTTGTGCCTCAGTTGTTGTCGAAAATGCATGTGGAGAGTTTGGTTCATGGAAATTTGACAAAGGCCGAGGCCCTGGAGACCGTGAGACTCGTTGAATCTAAATTAACGGGGGATCCAACGCGTCAAGACAAGAGGAGACTCATACCTCTGCTGCCCAAGCAACTTATGCTCTACAGAGAAATTGATTTGGAGGAGGGCTGCCACTTCCTCTACGAAGTGGAGAATAAACTTCATAAATCATCTTGCACGGAGGTTTATTATCAGAGTGGTTTACAGTCAACTGAATCCAACATGCATCTGGAGTTACTCGCACAAATAATCTCAGAGCCATGCTTCACTGTTCTGAGGACCAAGGAACAGCTGGGGTACATCGTATTCAGTGGGATCCGGAGGACTAATGGGGCACAGGGATTGAGGGTCATTGTACAGAGTGACAGACATCCTCAGTATGTGGAGGAGAGGATAGACGCATTTATGGAATCGATGCTGGAGCGCTTGGTCAACATGTCAGAGGAGGAATTCAACAGGCATAAGACCTCACTCGCTGCTCAGAGGCTCGAGAAACCAAAAATGATGAGCACTCTGTCCGCTGTTTTCTGGAGTGAAATTTCTAACCAGCAGTATAATTTTGATCGTGCTAATATTGAAGTTGGTTATCTCATGACCATCAATAAGGAACAGATTATTTCATTCTTCAAGGTAAGTTTGGCACATCGATTGATTGATTTTGGGAGTCATTGGGGATTTCAAAGCGTTTGACATCTTCAACTTTTAACAATTAATTATTAATTAATGAGCGATATTTCGAACGTTTGTGACTGGGTCATAAGTCGGTTTTTTCCGAAAATGAGTTATTCATGGAAAACGATTCTATATATTTATTACATGTCCCCTATAAACGATTTGAGTAAACCAAATTAACTATATTTTTATTTCAGTAAAAAACGGAATCAGTTCTGAATTTCATTCTCAACTATGATCCTGCGAGTTGAGTCGACTTAGACCTTCATTCTCGTTTCATGGATACTTTTCATATTAATTTTACTGCAAAATCCTCCTTATAATCATCTGCACCATATTTCCGGCATAACCCGGCATATAATGAACTGTAAATCAGCAATCAGTTATAGAAAATTCAGACCGGAAAATCACGATTTATCGACTTATCACCCCTCACCGCTTCGCTGCTGAATTAATTTTTCATTCACAAACTAATTAATCTATTAATTCGATTAATTTGATTGATTAATTAATGAGCGTTCGAAATATCGCTCATTAATTAATAATGAGTTGTTAAAAGTTGAAGATGTCAAAATCAATCAATCGATTTGTTGGGGACTTTGAGATGGCATCCGTAAAAATTGTTCCCTGAGGAACGTGAGATTAGAAAATAGAAAAAAATTCATGCAACTTCCCTATCAGCGAAAACAGCCATATATGATATTCATTCCACCCTGGCTCCCCACCTGTCCTGTATCACGTTAATATTCATTGTAAACCAACAAAATCCCCGCAGGAAATTGTTTACAACAATTCACCAACCAGACGTAAGCTCGCTGTCCATGTGATCTCAACAGCCAGTGGGGGTGCTGGATGCGAAAAGAATACTACCAAGGATAACGGAGAGGAGAGCAAAGAGGCACGTGCAACCAGCGCTACGAAGATCACGGATGTAATTGCCTTCAAAGCCAGTCAATCATTGTATCCCCTGCTGAAGCCCTACAATAATATTCCGAGGAAAGGACAGCGGTCTAAGCTGTAGCAGCTCGAGTATTTTCATTGTGAAATCAATTTAAATCATGTACAATAATGCAAGTAATTCTGTAATTAATAGATGGAAATGTTCGGCTTAGCACGCAACACAAAAATAAATTTGGTTATATTGTTGTTTTGGTAAAAATATTTGAAATTTTAGGCATTTGCTACTGTCATCAGGAGAATCGTCTGACTTATTATTCGCGGGGTAATTTATCTTGGGCTGTATCTTCGACGAAACATCCACGACAAGTTTATCGCTCACGTTGACTATAATAACCCTCTGCAGAGACACTGCGTTGGTTTATCACCCCATCCACATTGCTACATTCACCTTTCATTCAAAACCGAATATCGAATGTTGAATGTCGAAATTCATAATTATATCCTCTAGTGAAGCGACTTGAACCCGAAGGGTGGAAATTTTTACAGTTCGATTTAAGGGTCTCATGTGTGTGAATGACGTTTTTCAATGTTCAAGTCATCTCCATTGTTAATATCTATTAACTCAAAAAACAATTAGCTGCTAGTACGTTAACGATGGGTTTTTCCTTTTCTAAAGCCTTTTTCGGGAGCTGTTTGCGGCTCTAATACGTGCATTTAAAAGACATGTGCACTGACAGAAAAAATTCATCACGCTGTGACGAAAAGTGAACTAAAAGTCTAAAAGTCCAATTTCCGCCACATTGTGATGAAAAATATTGTTCGTAAAAAAATACTTTTGGACCGTGTGATGAAAAAGTAATGAAATTTTTTCAACATTTCAACCCCTCATTAACATTTAAAAAAAAGTCAAAAGTGTCCGTTTTACCCCAACCTCCTCTACATATATAACTTGTTCCAAGAGAGAACCATCTCAATAAAAATATTTTTTTCTATCAATGTCGACACATATAGAGCATGTAGAGATTAGTATGTACATGTGGGGCATAGCCACATCTCACATATGTGGGCCACCGACCGCACGCACTTGCCGTACCGTTTACAAAATGGCGTCACACTTTGACAGTTGTTGACACGACCAGCTGACGTTCAACTGATTGTAGGTTATTAGAAAATCGTGGGTCCGTTTTAATTCCGCAATGATTAAATGCCTAATTTGTGTGTAAAAATTGGAGGTACCCTCACCCCAAGAGTTGATAAAATCATGTCGAGTACATGTACCCATTGCTCCGATGATAGTTGAGTCCTCGAGGAAACGGCAAGTATTATGATTAAAGAGTGTAGGGCATCGCCTATTTCACCAAAGAAACTCTACGTTCTTAAAAATGGATGAGACCAACTGTCAGCAAGGTGAAGATGTTGTGGCGGCCTTGGGATCCTCGCAAGTGTCACCAGGTCATGTGTTCCCTGGCCTTCGCCCTGACGCAGGTGAGATAATAAATTGACATTGCAATTTCCATTTCCACAGACCTCTTCATTATTGATTTCATGTAATTAGCGTCTCCCGCTCCTGCTCCTGATTCATCAGCTTTCGAAACTGCTCTGGAGTTGATAAATGGAACACCTCAAGGTTCACCAAACTCTGACGAGCATGCAGTGGCTGCTGTCGACAAAAATTTAAATCCAGCGGAAAACGAGGTTCGCAGAATTCGAGATCATTTCGACTCTAGGGGTTCGACTGGCAATCCCCCTCGTAGATCGTCCCTCTCTGAAGACAGCAGGCTAGTCAAAATCTCACTGCCGACCAATTCCATAAACCTCATCCAGACGAATGCCCAGTTCCTCAACAAAAGTCGAAATTTCTTGAATTTCATAACTGAGAAATCGACGAATATCATGGAGAAGGCGTTGTTACCTCAACATATTGCGGCTCGATATGGTGGGAATGACAAAAAGAGACTGCACGACTTGGATGCTATTAAATTTGGGTCGATGCAGAACATTGTCACTGGCAAGTTACCTGAAGCCCCCAATAGCAATGGAACGGATAATTCAGATGAAATCACTGTGGACCCTTCAAATTCAGGGAAAAATAGCACTTCCACTCAAGATCTGTCCGCATTATCGTTGCATGTTGATTCTTCGATGACTAATGGTGAAACTAAACCTGAAAACGTTCAAAGTAATGGGGAAGCCGTCTCGAGTCTCCCCCATTCGGAACTAATGAGAGAAGACAAATGGATTTTAGTCGAGAGAATAAAACAGTTGGAGGAGCGAAATCGCAAGTTGGAGGAGGAGAATGATCCAATCGAAATTGAAAATCGAGAAAGGACTGTTGAACGTTTGACGACGGAACTACGGATGGCGATGATAACTCAGGAAGAATTGAAGAGAGATTATGCTGCCGCTAACAGAGAGAGGGAAAGCATGGTGATGAAATTTGCGGTTGGGGAGAAACAATTGATTGATACACAAAGGTAAGAAAAAACATGATCCAAATAAGTTTTATTATTGATTGAGGGAAGTTGCTAAAAATTCCCTCAAAAATTTTTGGATTATTATTTTGTAAATATTTGGAGAATTGCGAAGTTTGTGGCAACTTTTCGACTTATTTTAATTGCAGAATCTGAGAACAGATAGATGCACCATCTGATTTTTTCTCCGTTGCTTCCGAATGGAAGCTTTGTAATCGTGATTTTTTTCGATTTATTAATTTTGAGTGGAAATGCCTAGAAATGTCATGAAGTGTGAAGAAATAATGTTTATAAAAAATGTCTGTTAAAATATATTTAATGCCTTTTTCGAAACGAAATCAAACGGGTTAAGTCGCAATTTTGGGGAAAAATCCATTTCATTTAAAAATCACCTTAAACCCACGGCGATTCTCCCGTATTCAACGACGCTGAACATATATAAATTCCTTTCAATATTTCTGACTCAATTGAATTACCAAATTTCATGATTGAAAATCTTCGAATTAGCAGTGTAAATGTCCTTAAGCTTAATTTGAATGAATTTTCCACGATATTTTCTTTTGTGGTAACAGAATATAAGACTCATGTTCAGTTTACTTGTAATAATTCTCAAATATTCTCGTAGAGCGAGGGACGCAGCTGAGAAGAGGGTGAAGGATTTGACGAGAGATAACGAATTGCTTCAGAATAAATTGAAACAGGCATTGGGCGAACGGACAAGAATCTGTGGAATATTAGACACAAAATGTAAAGAGCTAGTCGAATGTCAGAAAGAATTTGAGAGGCTCAAGGAGGATGTCAATGTCAAGGACGTAAAATTGAAGTGGTCACAAACTAAATTGAAAACAGAAATGGAAATGCTGAAAGAGACGCAGCAGAAGTTGGACAAAGCAATGGTAAATACATTGATTTTCGTATTACAGTAGAGGCTTCGTATAAGATACCTTAGGGACAGTAGGAGAGTGGAATTCCGGGAACCCCTATGCCCCCACTACGCGCTCCCATAGAGAGGAGAAAAATAGGGATCAGCGGGTTACTATTAAGATACCTCACTCGTTGCGCCCGAATTCAATGAAATTTTCATTTTTACTGAATGAATATCGATAACTAATCAATTTATATGTTTAATGTTTTGAATTTGTATCGCCCGCGTTCCCTTTTCTCTCTAAACATAAGCCCGCGTGATAGAATGGCAGCTGATGTTGGGGGATTGTTGGTGAACTCGAGAATAATCACAGACGAAAAATTACGATTTTTCGATGGGAAAAGTGAAAAAAAATCGATGTATATTTCCATTACTTGAAAAAAGTGGTGTGACTCCCCCTTAAGGTCATTGGACCCTCATGATCACTTCGTTCGTCCCTCCCGTTTGACCCTTAACACCGTTTGATCCTTATAACTACTCTCTTCCCGTTGAAAAATGACCGGGGCCATAGGTATCTTATGAGAAGCCCACGGAACATAAACATTCGGGAGGCGATAAAAGTGCCGAGAGTGGGGATAAGCCTCGAGCGCTCGGAGCGCGAGGTATCTTATAGAGAGGTGTCTTGTACGAAGCCTCTACTCTATTAGCGTTTGAAACGTCTAAAAAAGTATAAAAAATGTGAAAATATTGTCACGAAAAATTTCTGTTCTCCATTATTTTTCAGGCAAGGATTAACGAGATGAAGGACGAGTGTGAACAGGTGCGTCGTGATTCCCAAGAGACCATACGTCAATTCCAACGCTCGGAGGAGAACAAAGCGGTAACCCTTGATCAGCAATTGAAAGAGCAGCAGGCACGACTTATTCTCGAGCGCCATGTGACAGAGGATAAAGAAATGCTACGATCGCAACTGGAGAAAGAAGTAGAATCCCTGAAGAATCGACAGCAAGTTCTTATCGAGGAGAACAATTCGTTGAGTCTGAAAATTCAGGACTTGGAGAAGGAAAGATTGATGTATGAAAATAATTTGAGCAACCTGAAGATCATTGCTGACCAGAGGCAGAAGGAAATCGTTGATCTGACTGCCAAAATTTCACATTTGGAGACACTGAAACTTCAACTTATTCAGTAAGTTTAGACATTTATTTTCTCATTCAATTACTCAACAGCCAAAGCCAATTAAAGGGTCAAATAATATTACAAGAGAATATATATGCATGCAATCTGGATTCGAAAAATTCATTTCCAAACCATTTTACAATGAGTGGCGCATTCTGAAGAATGAAAATTTCAAAAATAGCTAGAGATTGTTATTCTTTGATATCTCAAAAACTTGCAAGAAAATACAACTCTGCATTCAATGTAATGACTTTCAATAAAAAAATCATTGCAGCTGCCCCTTAAACGAATAAGGATTGAATGCCACGAATTATCTTTGCAAAAAAAACTGAATCTAAACAAAAAAAATATTCTTCTTACAGCAAAGAACAATGCCTGGCCTCGAAGGAAGCAGAAGTCGAGCGTCTACGTCTCGTTAATCAAGATTTACAAACAGATATGGATTGCTGTAGACAGAGTGAAGCCCACATGTTGGAATTCACTGAAAAATTGACAGATAAAAATGTCCGACTTCAGTCTGAATTCACAGCAATAGAGGCCAAGGCAAATCAGCTAGAAAAGGAACAGGGACCATTGCGAGAGAGTATCACTGGGCTGAAATCCAAAGTGAAGTCGTTGGAAGTATGTCTTGCACTAGAAACCAGCAAAAGAATTGAAGAGTGTGAAATATTGGCTAGGCATCTGGCTGAGCAAACGCAGTTGGCGCAAAATTTATCCCAAAAGCTTGAGGACAGCCAGGGAGAGAACTTAGTACTTAAAAGGAAGCATCAGGGATCCATCAAAGAAATGACTCGAGAGCTACAACAATGCAGGAAGAAGCTCGAGTCTTATGAAGCATCTTCACCAACCAAATCCTTCGATCAAACTCCTAGAACCTCTTCTAACACTTCATTGAATGCAGCTGATCATTTGAACGGGGTTTCGTCGTCGGAAAATAGCACCAATGGAGAATTGCCTTCGCCTTATAACGATTTAGATAAGAACTCGTTGATTGACAGACTCCTGAAAATGCAGAGAGTCAACGTCAGACGAGCGGAGAAGCTCGACTTCCTGGAGGAACACACCAGGGCTCTCGTCACTGAACTTCAGAAGAAAACTAAAATTATACAGAATTATATTTTGCACGAAAATTTTGATGCCATGGGGAGCAATGAGCGAGATAGATATAAGGTATTTTTTTTTTCAATCAATCGATCCGATGCCTCTTCACACTTTTTAAATTATAAGTAAGCATAATCTCATGACTTTATTCGTCAATTCTTCTTGTGTTTAATGCATACGTAAGAATTTGAAGAGCAAAAGGAATGCCGTAAGTAAAGACTAACTATATTTTATGTCAGAGGGAAATTTTGAAAACAAAAATTCCGTAGCTCAAAAATTGGAGGCCCTGGACTATTTTTCATATTTTAAGCGTCTCCTGGCAAACGACCAATGAGCTATTAATTTTTTCCACTAATTATTAGTTTTTAGACAGATATAATCGATCTTTAATTTATGAGTTGAGTCTCCCCTTTAAAAAAAAAATTCTCCTCTGAAGTAAATGAATATTAGGCAAAAATATTTTTTTTCTCAGTGTACAACACTTTCTGAAACCATGAGTTTCTTGAAATCAGTAACTTGGTTCTGGAAAAAACTAGAAAAATTTGGTTTTCTGTCTAAATATGGACGAATTGTGAATGGATCACTTGAATTGAATAATGAAAATAAATTTGAAATTCGAATTAAATACTCGAATTAGTCTGTTTATCCGATAAATTAGTCTGTTCAACCGATTTAAATGATGCAATTCAGATTAATTCACGTAATTTGGACAGCCTTACAATTAAACTATTCAGATTCAATTCCCCCCGGATTTCTCAGAATCTCGAGCATTCGCAGTCTTCCAACAATAATGCTGAAGATGATTAACTTTCTTTATTTTTGTTAACTCATTAGGCGGAATTAGCCAGACACGGTGGAATAATGGCATCTGTTTATAATCACCGAGTGTCCGATGACAACATGACGCTGGAATTGTCTTTGGAGATCAATCAGAAGCTGCAGGCAGTACTTGAGGATGCATTGTTGAAAAATATTACTTTAAAGGTCAGTTCCAATCTCATTCGTTGACTTCATTTATGGATAAACACGCAGGGTTGCAAGCTTATTCGACAGAAGCAATGTGACCGTTACTTTATGTGTTATTAGTCGTTTTTTTTTCTCTACCAATTCCACTGGTAATAAGCTTCCAAGTGGATCTGTAGCAATGGTTCTAATGAATCAGGATCTATTGAATCGATCGACATAAAATTTTGTACACAAGTGTGACTCAATAATACAGAAATTAGTAGCCAAAATCTCCGATTTTTATTCCAAGTTTTACGCGTTTTATGAAATGCCACAATAACTCTCTATTGAAAAAGTGAGGTGCTCCAAAGTAACACCAGTTAAGTGACGAAATTTCAGATTTCCAGCTTCAACTTTAGTTCATGTTCTGTGAAGATTGATAAAAAATTTTCGAAAAATTACATATCTTCACGTAAATGTCATGAACATTTACGTAATTTCCAGACAAAATTAGATGATCGTCGAAATCAAAGATGACAAAACTTTCATTCGGAGGCAAAAGAAAATAGAATAAAGTAAATAATTTGAAAATTGCATTACATTCTCATGAAAAAAGTTAACATTTTGTTCCATTCCAGGACAACATCGACACCCTGGGTGAAGAAATTGCTCGATTATCTATAAAAAATCAACAGTTACAAAAATCAACGAAATGATGAACGGAAAATCAGACAAAATACTGATCCAGACATAAGTATTAAAAGAAAGTAACTTCCAAATGAAAAAGAAATCGAGTCTTCAGCAGAAGCTACGAATGAGCGCAGGCAAGACGAAGACAAAGTATTGACAGAGCTATTTTATTTGATATCTAATTTATTTTTATTTCCCTTTTATTTTTAACTACCTTTACTTTGCTGAAAGATATTTTTTATATTATGTATGTAACGAAGTAGGGTCACAGTGAATTCATACGTACTTACCTTGTATATTTTTGGTGCTCTCAATGATTTGTCATTCCCTCTAACTTAATAATTCTTCAATATCTACTTATTTCGTAATTACGTAGTCAAAAATTACTGTGTATTCGTTGGCCTCATTGATAAACACACCACCACTGATGTACTCAACAGTGTATATGTATTAAAAAGGAAATATGTATATTGTACGTTATATTGGATTATAAATACAACAGCTTCGCAAGGATAATACGAAGAAAGAGGAATAAATTCCATGTTGAACAATTCATCTTTTTTTTGCTCTATTGCACAATTATTTAACCATAACTTTGGTTTTGTTTTCATTGTTTTTTCATTTCCATAAGATTTCTACAAACTGGTTACAGATGATCGAGTAATTTTCCATCTTATTATTATTTTTTTCATCATTTACATTATACATCAGTACTTAGGACGGTAAAGGCTTTGATAGAAAAATTCAAATAAAAATTTCATACTTTATGTTCGCATTATTCTCTTTTTGTTTCTCAAGCAAAAAATTATTATTCAAACGGAATAGTGAAAAGACGAAGCAAGCTGTATGAGCTCAGTAAAAACTCTATTATCTAAATTTTCTCAAAAAATTTGAAACTCGCATTCGGAGTAATGCCTAATTAGGTTTTTCATCTTTTGTTTACACATTCAATTATTTAAACAACATGTACATGAATGGCATTACATCTATGTTGTCTTAATCTGCTTCATATTATTTATAAGTTCTTTTTAAACTCGATCCAAGAAAAATCGTTTAACTTCCATACATAGTCGCAATTGAATGAGAAATAGTTTTGAGTTTTTGGTAATTCATTTTCTTGGCGTTATGCAGTGAGCTTCGCATATACGTAACACAATAATTCCTAGTGCTTGTCTAATGAAAACCATGAAAGGGAATATTTTTTGTACAATGCGTTTTGTTATACACACATATGCTACATTTTTAGAGATTTTTACTCTGTGAGATTCGTTGAGAATTATTTTTTCAATCTCGAATGGCTGAAAACGAGGAATTTCTAAAGCTCTACGTGAATTTTCGATATTACCTTGTGAATTAATGAGAGCGAGACTAATACCCTTTCCGTTTCACAATTATATCGATAGTCAGAGAGTGCAGAGGAGTGAGGTTGATTCAATTGCACCATTGGGTAAAATGAAAGATTAACATTTTCAAATGTTGAAGTGGAATAAAAAAAAGTTGGTTATCATTTCGAAATGGGGGAAAACGATGACTCGATCGATTCATCTCAGTATTGAATCGAAAAACGTTTATTCTTTGCGCAGAGAGAAAAATCTACGTTCCAGAATCATGTTACTGATTCTAAGTAACTCATGGCTTCAGGAGGCATTGCACTGAGTGTAGTAAACTGATTACGTAATTTCAGAAAGAAAATCCCTGAAATTCAGTAATAAAAATCGACTGATTTCAAGTGAGAAAAACTCTTGGATTAATAACGTTTTTGTTTTTAAACCAAGAGACAAAACTTTTGAATAATTGAACATGAATTCAACGTGAATTTATTCAAAGTATTAGATGATCAACACTAATGGTGCAATAAAATGAACTTGAATCGTGTTAACTCTCCGCTATTGATTTCAAGAACTAACAAATCCAAATGAGATGAAAATAGTGGTCCAAGGACCATTAGAAATTCACCAAAGTCCCTCAAAAAACATGCCTATTCATGTTATCATTCTCTTCAACTAGAAAATTTAAATACAAAAAAGTCTGGTCTGTCAGAATAACGCGCAAACTCGAATATATATACCTAGGCGCGCGAGAATTGATTTTGGCTCAGACCAGACCCCCCTCTCACATCCACAGACCCCAAGTAATGTCTATAGTAAATCGAGGCCGTGAATCCCGGTGGCCTAGGCGAGCTTTTGAAGGGGTGAGCTTAAAGGGGATCTATCTTCAGAGATTGCCCATTTCACCTCACCCCAGCAAAACGATAAACGCACGCAAGTGAACGACTTAAAGTGGATGAATTCTGTGAGGTATTCTACCACACACAAATCGTAAAATCAGGATATGAACATATCGTTTAAAGAGACATTCCAAATGCTTTTCTGTCTCTTCCCTTTCATTTTCGTGAATGTTTCAACTGTGTTTTTTTTTCATCATTGTTGTCTATTTTTTTCTTCTTTTCCTTTCTCCCCCATCGTTTATCGCCTTCCCTCTTTCAGTGGGGAATAGCATACGTTCATTTTTCTCCTTCGATTTTTTTGCATTTCCGAGAGAAAGGCTTTGGAAAATACGTGCATTTTTCCGTTTATGTTTTAAGTTTCAGGCACAGTAAGTCAACCTTATTTTGATCTTCAATTGCCAATTGCACTCTGCAATGAAACGAATGGGAAAATCAATTAAATCCCGTGCTTTCCAATTAGTTTGCAGTATTTCAATATTTGCATTGAGATCTTTTTATCGTCCCATTTGATTTCACTACAGTCTGCCTAATGATCTAATCACATGGTGAGTTCAGAAAATATGTAAAATGATTAGTGAACGTATAGCGAGGAATACAGCATGCTGTAAAGCGTTGAAAAAATAAAGGATAAGAATTAATTGAGGAAATAAAATAATTGTGTAATGTTTTTTAATCAATTTTTTTAGCAAATAATATGGTAATAATAGCCAGTATAATAACGTATAATTGTTTGGCATCGTTATGGTCTTCCGCGTCTGTACAAACATTGTATCACTATAAATCGAGGCGTTGATTAATTACCTATGTAACTTAATAAATGAAAAAGAAAGAGAAATTAATTATTTCCATTGACAACGAAAGATGACAACTCTACCTTTGTCAGTGAAAAAAATTACCAACAAATAAAACTACATTCACCTATACACATTTTTCTTCAGTTATTTCGCTATGTGATGAATTATTTTCTAGTAAATGACAAATGACGTCAAAACGTAAATTGAGTAATAACAACAAAGTAAAACTGAAATCGAATGTTTATCGCATAACATCTAATAACGCATATGAAAAGAGGGATAGTTGCAATTTAAATCTTACAATCTAAAAGAAGGAATCAAGTAAATCCTTGTACAGCAGCAACAGTGGACGTTGAGGGCATTAAAATGGACTAAAAAAATTAACAATTGAAATACAATTGTAGATTAAAGAGGAGGTAAATCAACTGATTAATAGTCTTTGAAATTACTGAACTGTTCCTATTGCTTCAATGATCTAACAATTTTCTCCCATCGTTGCATGCTGCAAAATGACTAAATCAAGGGTTTCCAAAAAGCACCATTAATCAACAAATCGATTGTCACAATAATTATACATCACTTTTCAGGGGCGTGGAATTATTTTGGCGATAAAAGGGGAAAAATTCCGAAATCACCAGTAATTTTGTTGGATTTCCGGCTTCACAATACTGCACCTAGCTGGATAAACTCATTTCATGCACATCTTCGAGCCCAAAATTAAAAAAAAAATGAATTTACAAGTGAACAATTAATAGGATATACAGCGCTAGATTGATCGAGTAATTTTATTACTTCTGAAACACTATTGTTGTTCGATTGCACATTTTTATCTCGCGGGTTTAACGAGCCATTGCAGTATTGCCCCATTGATGCTTTTCTACTTGATTTTAATTTCAATCCGAGACAATTAATCAATGAATGAGAAGTAAACATTTAAAAAATTAGGTTTTGAAGTAAACAAAGTGTATCACAGTATCAACATTGCATCCACAGTTCATTTGGCTTCGGGCCAACATTAATATGACACTATCTCTCATCAACAGAATAATAGAAAACAAAAATTCATTCAAGTTTTTCTCTCCAATCTCATTCTCATCGAACGCCAGCCCCTTGCTCAATCGTTCCTCCATAACTTTCAAATTTTCATAGTACCTAGGAGCAGTCGATTTTAGTCATCATGTTAGAAGAGATAAAAAACTAAAAAAAGCTAAAATTAGAAGTGAAAGTAAAACAAACTTATGATATGTTTTTTCACCAACTTTCGGTCTTTCGTCGATTTAATTTAGAAGCCCATAAAATTCAGTTGAATTGATTCAAATAATTCCACCTATGTACAGTTGATGCAATGATTTTTGTTCCTATCATTTTTCCTATTAGAAAGAAAAAAATGTTTTTACGTATATGGCATTTGTACCTTTCCAATGGGTTTCCCACTTGCTCGTAGGCGCATTTAATATATAACTTTTCTTTTCTCAGCTATTTCTCGTTTATGTGTTCGTTCTTCGTTAATTCATTAATTTTCTACATTTTTGTTCCACAAGTTTTTATGTCACCTTGTTTTGTTTTTGCGGTTAGTATGGCAAAGGCACCCGAGGAGAACAAATAATGAATGAGACCAAATTGTTAATTAAATTTCAACAGAGCTCAGGCAGTGGCGCTCTGTTATAACACCAACGGCCATCTTATTGAGTCCAACGTTATCATAAATTAATTCATTCCAATGATCAATGATTTTTATCAATGAATAATCCGAAATATTTCCGTTTACCTGTAATATATTGCTTGTCTCGTATCTTCAGTGGCTATTCATAAAAAAATACTTCATCATTTTCTGGAGGTAGATGCACAAGAAAAAAAATTTCTCTACTTTCTTACGTTTTTTTTTCTCTGTAACAAATTTTCTAAATTTCTCTTCAAATAACGTACAAGAATGAATTAAGCCAAGTAACACTGAGATTATAATGTTGAATTGATCGACTACATTGAAGGTAGTGAAAGATGGCCCGAGGTTCCCATGTCAATTTACTCATCTCCAGAAGCACTCGAAGGAAATTAATAAGCAAAAAGTATTCATACTCAACTTTGACAAATTCTGAGTTACTTTATTCATCCAATTAAATGATATTTCTGTGCAAAGCAGAGATATAAGTGTAAACGCAATAAGAATAACGAAAAAAAAGAGAGATCTACGGTGCACATGAACGTGTAACTATTTGTTTTCCTTTCCTTATTATATGCAATTTATATACATTGACTCTGAGTTTAACGACATTGAGTTTGAGACGATTTAATAGTAGATAATACAAATAATAACGTAATAATCAACTCAAAAATTGTGGACTACACACAACAGCTAAGCGAGCAATATCTGAATATCAACGAACTTTAAGACAAAAAATCCTCACGTATAGTTTTGTTCTCCGAGTAAACGAAGAATTGGCTGTTTTGTCTTACAACGGAAAAGCAAAATATCCCGTCTATACAATTGATTCAACAATTTGATTATACAAAACTTGGCTTGAAGGTTTTATTAGCAAATAAGAGTTCTACCATTTTATTTGCTCTCTCATTTGTTCGTTTTTGTTAGCTTCCTTGAGATCCAACTTACGAATTTGCACGAATCAGTAATGTAACAATCGGCACACGCAATCTTTGTGGTTGATGCCGCTAAGGTCCTGCCTCGACCGTTGGTTAGTCACTTGCTGTACCACTGTTACTGAAAATATCGCCGGCATCGCCGCGGCAAATTGGACACGTTCGGTTTGACTGAAATTTCATAGAAAAATGCAATTGAAAAATAACGAATTACTTTTCACAATAGTGTGTTTCAGTTCAGTAGCGAAGTGGTTCAGTAGCGAACGGTACAAGTCAATTTTGACTGTTGACCAGTTTTCAATGAATATCTCGAAATCTAAGGGCGACAGCAAAAAATTTTTTAAAACCTTTTTTGTAGAGCCGATTGGAAGCTACATCAAATGTAATTACGAAAATTTCGCTATCTTCGTTACATTCGGGAATATTCCTCAAAAACGAAAACTGGGAGATCAGTCGACTTAAACCGTTTTACCAATTCGCTACTGATTCTTTTTTCAATCTCCTGAGGTTTTTTTCTTTAGTCTTCCAATCAGACGAAACTAAAAACAACAGGATAAATTGAATAAAACAATCTAGATCTATTGTTTTTTTATCTATCATGGAAAATTGTCTTAATTACCCTGAGCCATTTGTCAATGCACTTGGCATGGAACTCGTGAGAGCACGGTAGAGCCCTCAACATTTGTGGTGCCTCGAAGTCACACATGCAAACAACACAGTTTGTTTGATCCCCATGAGGATTTTCAGCGTTGAATTTGTACGAACGTAATTGTTCCACCTCGGCCCGCGTAAGACCCCTTGGTTTAGCCTCACCGAGTCTCTCAGCTAGTGAAAGTAGTGCCTCGTAATTTTCGGTTTCAGCAGACTCCGGTGACGATAGCTCAGTTTGATTGTATGGGGACAGTGGTGGATTGCTGAACATGGCTCTGAATTTGGGAAAAAGAGAAAAAATAAATGTCCGACATCTTGCAGAACAACACACAAAAAAAAAGTTGCTAGTTTCCAGTAAAAAAATTTTGAATTTCATAACACTGACGTTCTGAAATTATGCGAACAAAAAATCGTGAAAATAAGTGAAATTTTCACTCATTTGAAGGAAATTTTTCCTGAAAGTCAAAGCAACAAGTTCTAATTCTTAGTCATTTTTACTCGAATCTAGTATATTTACTTTTATTTGAACTAACGAACTGACAGCCATTGACTACTAGGACAAATGACGATCTAACAGCCATTAGATACATTAAATTATTAATTTGCACTTTCCTCTCTATTGGGTTTATTTCCCAATATTATTCAAAAATGCTCCTTGAAAATGTTCACCTTTTTCCAACGTTTTTTTCATTGTACAATTATAATTTTTGGAGACTCTAGAGCTATGTAAACTGAATATATAGTTGAAGACCATTCAAATTATAAAAATAAAAAAACCAACCAAGATCACGTTCGAAAGATAATTCACCCGGACCTCAAGGATTTTTTTACTTGAAATAAGTAAATACGTTTTTAGGGATATTTTTCCTGAAATTGACTAATCAATACCTTACTCCCAGTGCAATGTCTTCTAACATCACGAGTTTCTTAAAATCAGTAAGTTGATTCTGGAAACTAGAAACCTTTTTTTTTCCGCGAAATAGGTAGAATTAATGGGACTCACAGGAAGTGAAGAAGTAGCCCGGAGTAACCGGTGGGGGGTATCGGTGGTGTTCCTCGCCATCTGGTTGTCCTTTGTCTTCGGCCGCCAGTGGTTGCTCTTCGTGTACGTGATTGCAGCATCTCCAGTTGATTGCTTCGAGTCTCAGGTAGGAATATCGGTGGTGGTGTCGTGACTTGGGCGAGCGCTGGAGGCGAGTAAGAGTGAGGTAGGGGCATCGGTGGTCCACCATTAGCCATTTGACGGTGGTGTAAATGACTCTCAATCAACTCCAAATCAACTTCCCTCTGAGGATAGAAAAAGAAAATTCAATGTGAACGTGAATGCACATTTTCATCGATTGACAAAAGATTGAAAAGAGATCGAGACAAATATTTTGGAAGTAAATTTAGTAGTGAAGTGGTCAAACGGTTTAAGTCAATTTAGTCTTTAGTTGAGTTTTCCAGAAATATTTCCGAATGCAAGGGAGATAGCGAAATTTTCATAATAACCTTTTTTGTAGAGCAAATGGAGTGCTACTAAAAAGGTCATGGGAAAAATTTCGCTATCTCCCTTAGATTTCGAGATATTCACTGAAAACTGGCCAATAGCCAAAATCGACTTAAACCGTTTGACCACTTCGCTACTGAATTGTTGCAATCCGAAGACGATTTAAGAACAAATAGCTCTTTCTCAAAGACTAATGGCTCGCTAAAAGGATGAATGGACGAACAGCAACTAATTGACAAAATTTCCGATTTTTTTCAATGTTTTTCGCCATTTAATTTTTCGATTCAGGAGAAATTGACCCCCCCCAGGGTGTTATAATCTCCAAACTTTGTATTTTAACATCTCAGTGGATTCCCCATTATTTTCACGAAAAATTAGTAAATGTGAAAGTCGATCGATAGCAAAAATTCAGTGTCTACAGAGTTTTTCAATTACCTGTTGTGATAATTGATGATGGGCTGGATAATGAGGGGCATGGACGGGTGGTGGTGGTGGATGCGGATGTAGGGCAGCCACAGGGCCGCCCGGAGGGGTAGGATAGCCCCTCGGGGCAGCGCCAATCAGACTGTGGCCTGGATGGCCTGTGGAATAGTGGCCATGATGATGGTGATGTGGCACCTGCGGAATAAAAAATATATATTCAAACATTACATATACTTCATAGCCCAACATGTCCAAACAGATATTTTCTTTCTTCCAAGAAAGCACTGAGAGAAAACAGTGAGACTGGCTTGAGCCAATGTTTGTTTTCTCTCAGTTCACAGGGAAAACTGAATGATTTTTTTACCTGGCACGAATGAGCAAAGGCATGCGCCCCCGTTGGGGCATAAATTCCATGGAGTTGGCATGGGATTCGATATCCAGTTGCCTGTGGATGCCAGATTGGCTCACCACTGACAGTAACCCCAAGACTGGACACACCAACTTGTCCAACTTCAACGACAACAGGGCCATTTGTACCCTGATTTGGGTGATGTCCAGTGGCAACTGGATGATGTGGATGGCTCTGATGGGCATTGTGTATGTTATGATGGGCGCTGTGTATATTGTGATGACCATTGTGTAAACTGTGATGAGAATTGTGAATAGTGTGGTGTTGTCCATGTATTCCATGATGGGAATTATGAATTGTTGGATGGGAATTATGCATTCCGGGTATGAATGGATAAGAGAGGGCAAATGAATCGGAATAACGTGGGTAACGATTACGTATTGGTGGGCTGCCCCTTGTGCTCATGTGATTACGGGGTGATCTACGTTGGGGGGCTGGGGGTAATTCCCAAGGTCCGGGATTTGTGTGTAATGGCGGGGTTGGGGCTGAAGGCGCCGCTTCCTGTACGTCTAATCCTGGTACTGCACCGTTGCGAGATATTCTGCGACGTTTTCGCGATGGTGATTCACTCTGAAATTGTTTTTCGTACTCTATGAATCATTAGGTTCAACTATTGTGCAAGATCTTGGAAAGGATAAAAAAATTGAATAAAAATAAAATCTCATTCTGAGATCTTCTGAGATTTTTTTTGTAAGCGAAAATTCAACATTAAAAAATTTGCTTTGTCGTCTATACGATCTAGATCGGTATTGGTTTTTTTATAATTTCCCAAAATCTTTCTTATTAGTTATTATGTCGATCAACGGTGTGTTGAGGACCAATTGGCTCTGGAACTCAGAACTTTTGAGTTCTTAAATCAAAAAAATTCTCGTTTTTTAATTGGTGATTGTTGAATTAAGCAACTCATGGTTAGAAATCTTTTCGTATTAAAAATGACACCTCGACTCGCCCAATTTTGAATTAAGGTTCTATTATCCCAGAATTTTATCTCTTTCGAATTTTCTTAGTTTAAGTGGTAACGAGGCCTTTTGCATAACAGAAATAGTTCGTAACATAATAGAAATAGTTCGTACTTCTACGTTGGGGATTTTATTCAAGTTGAATATCTGTTTACAAAACATAAAAATCCCAGAACAAGATTCCTCTGTAAAAATCGTGCAGAAAAAGGTATTTTAAAATTGTTTTCTGCAAAAAACGACAAATTTTTTTTCCCAGGGGGAACCCTCTCTCAATAAAAGAACAGGTAAACGATTATCATGATTATTATTTCGTAAATTTACCTTTCTTCCGTCGTCCTGACTAGGTTGCCTGTAATACGGCGGTGAGGGCTGTATCTGGACTGGACTAAGGGGTAACTGATTCGATGCTAAAAACGAACACAATAGAATATTGAAATATTCGTCGCTTACAGAGAATTCATGGGGCGCAATTAATTACCTTGCGTAGCTCTCCGATACTCCATATCAACTGTACCGGCTCCCAAGCTGGGGCTGAGGTTCATAAGGGGTCCTCTCATTGTGTTGTCCTGTTATGACCGCATTCTATCATTAGTATATTTCGAAATGGCATGTTTCGTCATTAGACTAAAATAACTTTTCTGGCGAGTATGATTTTGCAGCCCGAGCCGAAGGCAAGGGTTGCAATCATATGAGCTAGAATAATTTTTTTAGACCGTATGGCGAATGATTTTTTTTGTCATACCGGCTGTGAAGCGCTGCCTTACGGGCGAAATGACGAAAAACCTATTGTGTCATTTAAGGGGTAACAGAAGGCTACCGTTTCCTCGAAATTTCCAGACAAATTCCCTGCTCGAAGTGATTAATATTTTTTTAACCCAAAGCACATTGATTCCCATTATCACTTCCTGGAGATTAATGCGCTTGGATTTGTAAAAATATCGATAACTTTCAACAGGAAATTTCTTCAAAAAATTTGAAAATTAGCGACATTCTGTTACCCCTTAAGGATGTTAAGCCAGTGTCGCTAAATTGTCGGCAAGTGTTTTTTTTTCATGGTCAAGGAAAATTCTATAATTTTGTCGGCTGACAGCAGAACATATAAAACTGACTTTTCTAGTTAAAAAAAAATTAATCGCAATAGTCTCGGCAGAAATGAATAAACTAATTTTTCCTGGTACACGGACTCTTACGAAATTCATGTTCAAATTGATAATTCACCTACCAGAAGACTCGAAAAATAGAAATAAAAATATTAGGTAATGTGTAAAATCATACTGAATCCAATGGCGAGAGAAAAATCTGGGGTACCGGGGCAAAAAGAGGAAATATTTGAATGATTCTATCCCATATGAGCGCATGTTGGCGCATGCATTTGGTGCATTTTGTCTATTTCATTTCTAAATAGACATGGGTTGGTGGATTGAAATTTGTACAAAAATGACGGGAATGTCTTCGTCTCTCACTTTAAAAAAACATCAATTTTTTTAAGTACTTGCGATTTTGGTTAAACATCCTTAAGGGGAAACGGAACCCCTGTGTCTATATGAATTTTTAGAATTGTGTTTTCTCCTACAATTATTACTTTATATCTACGAAATTACCTTATCGACTGGATCATTGCATTGTTGAGTCCATAAAGTGGTTTCATAAATAAAAAATAATAATTGCAGGAGAAAATACAATTCTAAAAGTTCATATAGACACAGGGGTTCCTTAAGGGGAAACCCCTGCGTTTATATGAATCTTTAGAATTGTGTTGCCTCCTGCAATTATTATTTTTTATTCATTAAACTACTTCATTGACTCAACAATGCGATAATCGAGTCGATAAAGTAATTTCATAGACAGAAATTAATAATTGTAGGAGAAAACACAATTCTAAGATTTGATGTAGACAAAGGGGTTCCGTCTCCCCTTAATATATAATTATAGGTTTCGTACTTGTCCACAAATGTTGATGCGTAGCGGTGGGGTACTTGTTGGTGGGCCAGTTTGTTCCTGAGAAAAGTGAGACGATGGTAGAGACTGCTGTGGCACTTGTCCTCGTGACTGTTGGCTGTGTTGCTGTGGATTCACTTTGTATCCAGCACTGGGCCCACCCACCGCACCGTGATAGACTTCCTTTCCTGCTGGTCCTGAGGACGTCCCCACACCTGGACAGTCCCTGATAAAATTGAGGAGAAATTTTTATAAAGAATTATGAAACATTTGCCGACTGCACGGAATAAGGAAATGATTTTAGCAGCGAATAGGTGGAACTGATTGAGTCGACTTTGCTCCAACGAAAAAAAAGATTCTAGTCTTCAGGAAAAATCTCGGAATTTCCAAACTCTCTCGTAGTTGAGGATATCCAATTATCTTTTACAGATCGCACTATATAGTCAACTAGTCAATTAAATTGCGTGAGAAATATTTGAGAAAAATTGTGAATATTGAGCATCATTCCAATTACATTTTGCACAGAATTATTATTTTTTTAAGCATTCGTTGTTGATAAAAAAAATCATTGAAATTGTTTAAACTATCGGAAACCTTATTTTTAAAGCATGAAATCGATTTCTGACAAAATTCTGAACTTAAAAAAATTCGTCTCTCTGCTTTATCGCTACAAAAAAAATCCTCAGGAAAATGTCACTATCCCGCGAAAACTGGTGGTAAGGCAGAATTAACTGACGCAGTTCCACCCCTTCGCAACTGAATCCAATTCTGCATTTTTCTCATTTAAAAATTATTTCTGTTAATCACTCAGAGCCCTGCACTCCCTTATTCCATCAAAACATAACAGTGCATAATTTAAATAATAGCATAGAGTATGATGCAGAGAGTAATGTCATGAGGAGAGGTCAAACACAAGAAAGAAGGAAAATTAGTAACATAATGGAAATATTTTCTGTTCATGATCACACGTTCAGACCACCGTTAGGAAACCAATGTAAATGCATGCTAAACGACTGAGGTGAGTTATCAACGATAATAACTATGGTGACGTTCATCACGCGTACGGAATCCAATGCATCCAACACCCCACAGCCTAGGGACACAGCTAAAATGCATCAAACTCGATTGACTTCAAAAGGCAAATGCTAAAGTACAACATATCTTCCACTTTTAGGCGATAACTAAGGGAGAGTGGGGCAAAATGAAACAGTCGAAAAATGACTGTTTGCCGCAATTCAGCAAAAACAAAATTTTTGCCAATTTTTTTTGCCCAAAAAAATCAAAAGTGTCCATTATACCCCACTCTTGAATAATTATTTGGTTGAGGACTTTGCCAAAAAGCAATGTTTGAAAATTCGATTATTGAAACTGTTTTGAAAATTTTTTGCGTCCATTTCAGTCCACCCTATCCGGATTTATCCGGTGTCCAATGAGAATTGCCCAATGAAACAATTTTCAAAAATTTGGATTTTGAAAAAAAAATTGTTCTCAATTTTTTTTAGTGTCCATTTACCCCAGACGCTCACATTGCCCCACCCTCTCCTACTGAAAAAAAGTCGACATGACTGATGCATCGATCAACTTCAGTAGCGAAGTGGTCAAACGATTAAAGTCGATCTTAGCCATTGTCCAGTTTTCAATGAATATCTCGAAATCTAAGGGAGATAGCAAAATGTTTCTCATAACCTTTTCTGTAGCCCTCAATTGGCTCTACAAAAAAGGTTATCACAAAAATTTCGCTATCTCCCGTAAATTCGTTAATATTCCCGGAAAACTCAACCAAAGACTAAATTGACATAACCCGTTTGACCTCTTCGCTGACTTCCAGTTCGTAAATTTCCAAGCTGCACGATACCCCTGTCGATGTTCAACTAAACCCCAGAATCGTAACCAAAAAGAAATGAGCAACCTAGAAAGAGCGACGAAGGGACCTACCCAAAATGACTCACCGCTATTTTTTAATAGGTTAAACAATTAGTGTATGTGTGAAAGCAAATGGAGAAAAAAAATTATTCTCTGCAGTAAATAAATGTTAATGGGAAGAAAAGAGAGAGGGGAGTACCCATTGTGATATCTTGACGACGATCCCTGACGATAGGGGTACTCCTTGTACTGCTGGTTAAGCTGGCCGTGCTGTGTATGCTGGCTGAGGGGATGCCAGCCAGAACGGCTGTGGGTTGGGGCTGGACGAGTCATAGGCCCCGTTCCTGTACCACCACCACCGCCGTTCCTGTATCTGCCCTGCATACCCATGCCCCGATGCTGATGATTACCCGGTCCGTTCATTTTATCCTCTCTCTTTCTTTTTTTTACAATCTATCTACCTCTATCTCTCTCCCTCTTCCCCTTCCTCACTCGTTTTTTTTTCCACGTCCAAGCGAAGCCTTTTTCCTCCCTATGCCGCTCCCCCTTTCGTGTACACTTCCCACACTCTCTCAAGAGACGTGGACGGCTCGGTTGGCAACCCACAGGGCACAGAAGAGAAACAGAACTCTGTGCCTGAATTTTTCGTCGAAAGTTGACTCTCTCCAAACACTTTTTTTATTATATACGGCTTTTTTTTCAATTCAGGCGAGCCGATGATTTTTGCGCTCAGCTGCCGAGGGCCAACCTGACGAGTTATTCATACACACTATATCATTAACCGTATTTTCTTCCATACAAAATTAAATAAAATAAAACTATGCAAATGACGCAGTATCTTCATAATTTTCTTCGTTTATTCTTATTTCCTTCGTCGCGCTTTCTCGATCCTCGCCCCTTTGTTCAGTCGTTTTCAATGTCTAATTATTCAATTTTGAAATTTCAGTATTCATGCAACAGAAGAGAATTTCATGTCATGCACAGTTGTTTGGAAATTCCAAAAAATATACAGTGAGATGCATTCTAACAGAATTACCAACACTCGGGCGAAGGGAAAAAAATGAAAGAAAAGGGAATGATCGAGGAGGGCCAGACGAGCGTGATGCAGGTTATAGCAGCCCTGAGAAAATTGATGTTTCCAGGCTGAAAGGGGATCTCTCTCTATTCTCTCTTTATATTCAAGGCTCTCTCCTCGCATGTATACATTTGGGTTAGTTATTCAGGCGGCTTTTTGAGAATCCGCTTGGGAGCCGGGGAGAACGTTCGCGTCCCAAAAATCCAGGGAAACGATTAAGTGGACCGGAATTCAGGGCCCCGTTGCTTTTGGCTAGCAATTTAGTACCCATATATTTTTATCCCCCTCTTTCCCTTTTATTTCTCACTCTATCTTTCTCTCTCTGCACTTCCACTTGACGCCCAGTGCGTTTCAAACGCAGCAGACGGGAGAAAACCAGTTTACCTTTAAACTTGACTGGAATAAAAATAAATTTAAAAAACTCGATTGAAAATGTCGATAAACTTTTTACTCCCAATGCGGAAGTTATTTTCATAAAATCATTTTTCGCCTGTCTACTCTACTTCGATATCCCCGAGAATACATGACAACAAATTCGAACATTACTCCCTATTTTTTCCACTAAATTCCACTCTTTTTCGGTAATTTTTTTTTTCATCAAAGAATGAACGAAAGTGGAGAATAGTGAATTAATGAAAAATGTCGAATGCATTTTTCCCACGAACGATTTTGACTTGTGGGCGGAGAGGGGATTTCGTTAAATTTTTGTTATTCTTTCATTTCTACGAACTCACATGCGGGTGCCATTTTCTACCCTCACTATGCTCCAGGTATGTGGCTCTAGCGCTGGGTAAAACCGTGAATAAACTGTTGGCTTTTGCCTCCATCGAGGGCCCCTGGCATATAAAGAAGGACTTGATAGACGTCCGGACAGCAACAATAGTCCCTTTTCGGTGGATCAGGTAGAGAGAAAATTCTCCCCAGTTTTATATTCCCCTTGGATTGTATAGTAAGGGTTTTCCCCGGATCAGAAAATTCAAAATTCAATTCATCGTTTATAATTTTTCACTGGAAATATGCCCCATTGTTGGATGAATGGAACAAGGCGGACCAAATAGATTCTGAGAAATTAAAGCGGATTCGGAGCTTTTTTTGTCGAGTAATTCAAAATATTCCAAAGAATAATTATCCATTTTGCTTGGGTATTGAGCCTATCGGGGAAATCGTTATGACTCTTTTGAAAGAACATGGAACCTATTCAGTATTTCATTCAAACTTTCAGTGTTGCGTTATCAGTGAAATCGTCTCGGTGATTTCACGCTGAAACCCGGCCGCACGTAGTTGTGCTATTAGTTCTTGTGGTTCGGGTCAAATCGACTACCATGACTCAAAAATCCACTTTAAAAAAATTCCGTGTAACGATTTTGAAGCCTCTAGTCCGCTTATCAAGTCGTGTAATGTGATGTCTATGTGATTTTTTTGATCTACTGTAATCTTTTGTTCGCAGTAATTGTAAAAAAAAAATTCATTTCTTAGTGTAATAAAAAAATATATATACAATAGTATATATGTATATATTACATAATATATACGATGTATAGTATATAATACAACTATATATACTATAAATATATATTTCAGCAGCGAAGCGGTAAAACGGTTCAAGTCGACTCAGCTCGTATCTCTGTTTTTGAGGAATATCTCCGAATCTAAGGGAGATAACGAAATTTTTGTAATGACCTTTTTTACAGAGCGAATCGAGTGCTACAGAAAAGGTCATGTCAAAAATGTTGCTATCTCCCTTAGATTGTAAGATATTCTTTGAAAACTGAAGAATAGGCAAAATCGACTTGAACCGCTTTACCGCTTCGCTACTGATTTTATAATTAATTTTTTTTAACAATGAAAAAATGCCGCGAGGAAAGCCAGGACAACATTTGGGAGAATCTGCCATATGTAGGGGAGATTAGGGTAAAACGGGCGCTGTTGACTTTTTTAAAAATGTTAATGAGGGGTTGAAATGCCGATAAAATTTAATAATTTTTTTTTCAATACAAAGACCAATCCTTTCCCTTCGTGACGCGCCTAAACTGAGCTCAGTTAATAAATTCGTTTCTGAGTTATGAATAATTTTAAAAAAGTCTAGTGTCCATTTGACCCCACCCTCCCCTATATAATACATAATACATCCGTAAAAAATAAAAAAGAACGCAAAAAGCAGAAGAGAAACGAAGACGAAGGGAATTCTGACGATTCCGAATAAATGATTCAACAATGAAATTCTCATTGCGAAAAACATTGTTGAAACCGTTCATTGTTTCTGCATTATTTTCGATATAAAAATTAATGATAAACTGATAGAACGGATTAGTTACTGTTAACGAATGGATTTTAGTTGGAGGTTAGGGTCTATTCGGCCCCACCAAATGTTCATTCGTTAATAGTTAACGAATGTACATTTGAGGAGCCTTCTTTGACTTGACTTTCGCCATTCGAGTGAACCATTCGTTAACTCTTAACGAATATTCATTTGGTCATATTCAACTCTACCATTCGTTAATAGTTAAAGAATCTCGTTTGGAATAAATGAATCATTCTATCAGTGTAGTGAGAACCTGTAAGGTTTTACTATTTCGGCACCCATGGAAAACAATACGCTCGCGCCCTGTTCTAGTGAGGATAAAAGAGGGAAAGAGGATTCGAAAAAAGTTATAAAAATGAGCCTTGAGGTAGGAAAATGAGGGGTAATTCTGGCTCTCGTTGAACAGAAATGCCAGTCGAATGTGTGGATGAGAAAGGGGAGTCCAGGGGACTCCCGGGTACACATTTAGGTATACCGTTTCTTTTATGGGCAATATATACCTATGAGTCTTTAACTTGGGACGTGGAGGCCCAGGTGGAGCGTCGTCGGAGCACACCACCTGCCCCACCCTCCTACCCACGCGGTGATCGCCGAGTCTACGACATAAGGTCTGCAGCTGATGTCTTCCTCTTTTTATTTTCATTTTTATGGAGAAAAATTCAAATAAACAGACGTGACAGGATGGAAAAATTTCACCGAAAATGACTGGTGAGTCATTTCTCACGGAGCGCAGCCGTTTTTGGAATGATTTTTCCACTTCTCTGGCTCAACAGGGAAAGTTTAGAAAAGAAGAACGATTCGAATCTCGCGGGATTAATAACGATTATTATTAACTACATATTGTCCATTAAACTACTATTCCGTAAAATTGATGAATTATTTCCCTTTTTCGGCGAAAAATAATAGATGAGAGTGGGGTAAAACGGGCACTTCAAACTTTTGTTTTAATTACTCATAACTGAGAAACAAATTTATCAATTGGGCGCAGTTTAGGCTCATCCCAAAGGGAAAGAATTCAGTAGCGAAGTGGTAAACCGGTATAAATTAATTTTTACTATTGGCCAGTTTTCAATAAATATCTCGGAATCTAAGGGAGATAGAAAATTTTTTATTGTAACCTTTTTTGTAGAGCCGATTGAGAGCTACAACAAATATGATTATGAAAATTTCGCTATCTCCCTTAGATTCGGAAATATTCCTCAAAAACTCCAGTGGGAGATGAGTCGACTTAAACCGCTTTACCACTTCGTTACTGAATTGTTCTTGGCGATGAAAAAAAATATGACATTTTATCAACATTTCAACCCGTCAATCACATTTTTAAAAAAAGTCAAAAGTGTCCATTTTACCCCAACCTCCCCCACAAATTTTAGGTCGAGAGAGTCAAATAAGGAGACGAAATATCAAAATGTGAATCCCGTCACAGGAACGGCATTTCCGGTGTGGTGTGTGTGTACACGCTGAGCGTACCGATCCATGTTTCTACAGTACATATAGGCCGGATCGATTGTAACTAAACATTAGCAGCCGCGTGTTGGTGCATGCATGTAGCCAGCATGACTGACTCCACTGGATATAGGGGACAATAGTTGACTGTATTTTAAAAAAGCACCCATTCTCCGCTTATTATTTTTCCTCTGAGAAAGCCTCTTAGAGTGTCTCATCGTCTTCGGGCTTATTCATGTGTCTTCGTGCTATTATTTGACCTACTGCGTACCCCGTGTCAACTAATTTCCAGTAAAAAAAACACCTACAACGCAGAATAATTTCACTGAGGACATTTTGGGGCCAAAAGGCAGCCGAATAAGAATGCCGACAGTACGATTCACTAGCCAAATGGTAAAACGGTTCAAGTCGATTTTGACTATTGCCCAGTTTTCAATGAATATCTCAAAATCTAAGGGAAATAGCAAAACTTTTGTCATAACCTTTTTTGTAGAGCAAATTGAGAGCTACAAAAAAGGGAATTACAACAATTTCGCTATTTCCCTTAGATTCCGAGATATTTACTGAAAACTGGCCAATAGTCGAAATCGACTTATACCGGTTTACCACTTCGCTACTGAATTCACCAGCGAAATTGTAAAACGTTCAATCCCAGTTCGACTCATCTCCCAGTTGAGTTTTTAAACAATATTTCCGAATATACACGGAGAGAAATGTTCAGTAAAAATTACGGAACCCACAATTCTCTCACCGATTACGGAATCGATTCAGATTAAAAATTACGGAACGCTCTGAAAAAATTCACATTTCGCTCCGGAATTACAGAAAACATAATTTTTATTGAATATTTCTCTCCCTTCTACGGGAGATAGCGAAATTTTCGTAATTACATTTATTGAAGAACTCAGTCGGCCCTACAAAAAAG